GAGCGAGGTGCAATACCTGACACCCGCTCTCGCTACCCCGCACATAGTTACCCATTATGTTCCGGCTAGAGCCGTGTGGTCGACTCCCGACCGCGTCGCACAGGATTGCCGCGAACATCCGTACCCGAAGGCGGCAATATATATGTGGTGGGGTCCTATAGAGCAGTGGAATGAACGTGCATTATCTAAGCGACACGCAGTTGCATATTTGTTCTCTAGATAAAGCGTGGGATGTTGGTTATGGTTTATCTCACTAGGAGGACACCAAAAGCTCACAGGACGTTGGATTTCGCTCTTGAGGAAGTGTTGGAAAATGCTGTATTCTCCGGCGGAGAGCTTTCACCCTCAGCGCATTCTAAGAATGGTGGCGCGCTCAGGTGAAGCAGGGTTGATCGCTGGCATGAGGGATTGAAAGTGATTATGGGCACCCGTCACTGGGTGGCGGGGGAGAGGTCTGAGGTTTAAACATTAAAAAATAGGGCTCCCCGAAAGCAAATGGGTAATTCGAAAACTGACAGAGCTCCCTCTATACAAATCAAACTGTAGACGGTGTGAAAGCACCTATTGTTTTAAATAATGGTCGGAATGTGACCTGTGAGCCTTCTGAATTACCGTGGGACAGCACATTCTAAACTAAAATGTTCAATCAATAAAGTAACATCTTATCTTATCTTAATAATATCTTCATATTAATAATAATAATAAATCATACAGTATGTGTCCGAAAGGGAGCAGGAGGAAGCAAACACAAAAATATACAAAAAATATACTGCATATTAAAGCAAACGATTGTAAAGGTTAAAGTATGAGCATAACAAATAAAGAAGTGTAATGTAAACATTTACATTATAATTATGATTATTTAATATATAAAGACTATATATTATTGAATTACAAGATTAGATATACTTTAGTTGATCTAAAATATTGATGTGTTCAAATGCTCTTCAAAACACAACTGAAAGTCCATGAAACTTGTCTTTATGTATTTGTGAATGAAGCGCCTTCTCCTGGTTAAAACCTAAAATAGAAAATCTGGCAACGCCCTCTTGGAAAATAGTGGGAGGGCTTAACATTCCTCTATACTGGTCTTTGGCAGGTCGTAGGCAGGAAGCTGTAAGCTGGAGTCTGAAATAAAGTGCTACATCTGTAAATCGGTGACGATTTATTCATATTCTATGTACCCATCTATGTTTGTTTACCTTTAGCTAGCGGCTAAGCTAGTGGGACGCTACGGAGCCCAGCTATCCGCCCTCTGAAGCTTTTAGGGCCGACAGGGGTAGGAGAATGTCCCGCTAACACTGTGTGTGTGTGTTTCACATTAGCCCCAACAGGGGGAGGAGAATACAACGCTGTGTGTATTTATCGCTAAGCTAGCGGCTAAGCTAGCTGGACGCTACGGTTCAGGTATCCGTCCTCTGAGGCATTTCTGGCGGACAGGTTGAGGAGGATGTCCCGTGTGTGTGTGTGTGTGTGTGTGTGTGTGTGTGTGTGTGTGTGTGTGTGTGTGTGTGTGTGTGTGTGTGTGTGTGTGTGTGTGTGTGTGTGTGTGTGTGTGTCAGAGTCCTGCATCGGGTCGGGTATCCNTCCAAACACCAAACAGATCATTGCAGCATCCCATAATCCCCTCTGTTTCAGCCCTGTTTCAAAAGTGCTGATTCTTTGTCTGTTACTTTAGATGAAAATAAGGATATTTTCATCTAAAGTAACAGACAAAGAATCAGCACTTTTGAAACAGGGCTGAAACAGAGGGGATTATGGGATGCTGCAATGATCTGTTTGGTGTTTGGAGCCAAACACTTCAGAGACATGTTTTGTATCTGAGACCTATAATATATTGATGAAAAACAGTATAATAGGGGACCTTTAATGTGTTCCTTCAACGTTCTGTTTTGTCTTTGCAGGAACGTTCTGCATCATCTCCCTCTGCACCTGCGTTGCCGGCATCAACTTCGAGCTCTCCCGTTACCCAAAGTACCTTTACGGCCTGCCTGATGACATCGGCCACGGCTACGGCTGGTCCATGTTCTGCGCCTGGGGGGGTCTCGGCCTCACCCTCATCGCTGGCTTCTTCTGCACCCTGGCTCCATCTGTCCAGCCCATTCCCCGATCCACCTGCCCCAAATCCAGACAGGAGAACGGCACCGTCTGCTAAAGCTGGCAGCGTTTTTTCGACGCCGATAACAAACAGAGAAACTGTTCCACGTCTCCATCCTTCCACTCATCTCCAGTCTTTCCTGGTTACAGATTTCTTTTTTTATTTGTGTGTGTGTGTGTGTGTGTTGGGTGTCTTGATGATCTTGAAATTAACAGAAAAAACACTGAAGAACTAAAGAAATATTATCAAAAATGTGAAGTTGTGCTTGTTTTGTTGTTGTGGAGCAGACACCGAAATGGACCTTAACCAAGAAAAAGGTTTCGAAGGAGACAACGAAGGACTACATTTTGGATTGGTGATACCAAGAGGGCTTTCGACCCCTGAAGGTGACGGACAATGGTGTTGAATCTGGGAACAGCTTCTATAAACTGGCCTACTGTGAGTGTGGAGAACTCAATAACTCAACAGTATTGGACGAAACAGTTTAAATTGTTAAGATCAAGTTTCTGTTGGACTTCTTGGAGCCTCCTTTGGGATAATTCACAAGGGAATGGACCAGACTTGAAACTATTTGACTTGCTTGGATCTTGTTAAGTGGCCATCTGTTCCAGTATCTATGGTCCCTGAAATTGGGACATGCGAGCAGCGAGGAGACCCAGGACTTCCACTGTTGTACATTATTGTACAGAATATTCTAGAGACAACCAGGAACCGTCATGTTGGACCATTTTCATTCCCGTGTAGGTGCATTTCATTCTGTCTGATGACCCCATCTGCCATTTAGCATTTTATACATGCATTCCTCTTTTATTCAACGTGTATTATCCTTTTTATCGAGCTCTCCATGTTGTGAACGAACTGAGTGTACGTTCGGAGCAAATGTTTTTTCCATCGTAGTCATAGAGTGATATGTGTGTATGAGTGTGTATGTGTGGGGAGGGGGTTTGTTTTGCAGTCTCTACAGAGAAAAGTTGTAAAAAAATGATCATAGTGACAAAGTGGAGCCCTGCCTTGGGGATGTATAAAGGCAGGAGCTTTGAAGAACTGAACGGCACAATGGAGAGATGTAGTATCCTGTTAAACCCAACTGACTTCTGCCTTGTCATCTTTTTCGGGACGTTCCCAGCACACATGGCAGATCAAGAAGAGTTTGTTTTAAAAGGGAGAAGCATATTCCACTCTCTGCTGCCCTGAGCAACTGTGGGAGGCTCGAGTAATCGCATCCGACGACGCTCCGCCTTTACTTCCTGGGAATGTGTGAAGCTCTGCTGTTTCTCCGAGAGTCTTTATTTTTCAGTATCAAAGTCCAGGGTCAAAAGTGTTCACCTTACCCAGCGAATACATCTAGACTGAGTAAGAAAGTGTTCTGTATTAGCAAGATTCTTCAAGGCCTCAGCCCCCAATCACAAGTCAGAAATCAGAGTACACACTAACATGAGCTTGAATATTTTTATGTACATTAAGGATGATGATGATGATGATAATCGAATTCTCACCAGGACCAACTGGTTTAGATACGGACATGCAGTCATTAGAACTATACAATACAGAAAGCAGTCAATGGGATCCTCCAACCCAAAAACAAAACTTAAACTTCGATTTCTTTTTTTGTTTTGCTTTTAGAATTCAACATTAACCATGTGTTTATAACAGTGACAGCTTTCACTATGCTTTTTCAGCTTGTGGGTTCGTAACAACTGGAGATGATATGATATGGGTTGATAAAATGCGAAACGGTTGTTTACGGAAAGAATGAGTCAACATGTGTCACTAACCCTAACCCTAACAAACAACAACAATCAAGTCATCATATCATGTAATCCAGGGACTATCTGTCAATAAAATGAAATAAATAATCGAAGTTAAAAATAAAGTGGAGTTTTTGTGAGGCAGTACATTACATTTGTCAACATTGTGTGATGGATAACATATTTAGGGCCCAGTAGTTAACACTGCTTTGGTTGTCACTGTTTTGAATCTGTTGGTTAACATATTCAATGTAGACCACTAACCTTGCAGCTAAACCTCAACTAGAGACCAAGAAAATGGGATATGACAGTCAGTGTTTTTAATAGTAATGTCATTGTTATCTGAAGACATCAAACAGAGTTTTTTTTTTTTATCAGAGCTGTATTTTCCCATTATCTGGGGATACTCATGTTCTTTCATGTCTGTTTCATCATGGAAGCCTTCAAACAGGCCTCTTAGACGAGACCAGAGATCATAAACTGGGGAATACTATTCTTTGTCATTTTTCCCAATACCTTTTTTTAACGTTTGGTATAAATATTTGGGGTAACGCAGGTGGTCAAACTCAATGTCAGAACCATTAAGAGGAGTAAGCTGGTAAGCACCCTGGCATGGATTTACAGTATGTTAGACGAACAGATTGAACCACGACTCACCCAAACAGCTGGACTCCCTTCCAGATGTCTACCAACACATCAGCCCAACAGCTGGGTCACTGACGACAAAGTTTAAGGACAGCGATACTTCAACTTCCATTGTGGACTGATGGTAAAAATGAGAATGATCTATCAACCTTTAACATCAGTAATGTGTCTGTTTAGTAAACATTAATACAATTGGAAAAAAAAGAGGAAAATGTTCAACTGTGGAATGTAAAATCACAACAAAATAAATCTCATCGGTGTGTTTACTAAAACTGCTGGTTGTCGTGAATTAGTAAGAAAGAGTCTTTGGTAAAATGTCATTTTACGGGGGAACAGGAAGAGTGTTCTCAACAAGAGCAGAGGATGGTTACCTTAAAGGTCACCTGTTATGTAAAATTCACTTTTCATGTTTCATGTCTTTTATACATAAACATGTGTCCCCTCTGTGTAAAGCGATTCGGAAAGTTTCAGGAAAAAAGATTCTCTCTCTTTCCATTAATATAAAAACCTGTCGAACGAGCTGATCAGATTTTGGCCACTTTGTGATGTCATAATGTTTTTTTGGCTTGTGTAACCATTAGCCAATCACCAACCAAGATAACCCCCGCCCACCTTATCACCTGAATCTCCTCCTAGAGCCCCATTTTGTTCTTTTAAACCAAAAATCTTGCAGAGGGGCGTGGCCAGCAGCAGCTCATTACCATTTAAAGCTACAGACACAGAATCAGCTCTTTTGAAAAAGGGCTGAAACAGAGGGGTTTAACGGATGCTACAATGATCCGTTTGGTATTTAGAGCCAAACACTTCAGAGACATGTTTTGTATATACCTGAAACCTATAATATGTTGTTAAAAAATATTATAATAGGGGACCTTTAATATTGCTTACTGGTTGTATGGATACAAGTCTTCGGTATTTACTTATGTATATTATGTCCTAGAACAAAGCGTGAACATTGGTAAGCTTGTTTTGACCACAGACCCTATGTCAGGCTTCTTACCACATACACATTTAAATGTAACATTGATATTCAGCTGAGGGAACCCGGAATTGCTAAAATGCTAACTCCCCTAATTTCCCAGTTTAAGACTCAATCCTGCAACCCTCTATAACTAGGCACAATATCAGTGCTTCTCCATTGAGGCAGGTCCAGGACCAGTTCAGAGCCAAAGCCCATTCAAACCAGTTTTTCTGTTTACACTTCAGAGGGGCCAACTCCGGAACCAAATCCAAGCCTGGCCAGCACATAGACCCAAGTGAATACAGCTAAAAGAAGAACATGTTGTAGAATTTTAGAAATGTGTTGGAGAAGTACTGCTCAATTTTTCTTTGAGTTAGCTCGGACGCAGTAAGTCAATTTTGCGCTGATAGGGAATTGGAGAATTGGGGAAAATCCAACCTTCTCTTCCTGTCTTAACTTGGGACGTGACTGTAATATGTCCCTGGAGGTTAATTCCACTACAAAGGAGGGTAAATAAAGTCCAAATAACACGCTTTTTATTTTCTCTTTTATTTAATATTTAGTTCTATGTTTCACTCCTCCGCTCTTCATTTAAGACACGATGGACATTGTGAAAACATGTTAGATTGAATCAGTGTTTTAAGCGTTCAGTATTGTTAAAGTTTTCTGGACCTTGTGAAAAAAGGACGATTCATTTGAGAAGCTTTTGGATGATAAAGGTGTTCATGATGATGGTTTTGATTGAAAGATCGTTGATATTCTCCTTGGTCGTGTTAAGACTGTAACGAATAGTTTCTTCCTTAACATTGACATTTTAATTATTATTATTATTAATAACCTAGGCTGAGTCCATTTAAGTCAGAAAGCCAGCATTTTTTTTTCTTCTCTTTGTGACCACTCAGAGCTTTTTGTTGAACCTTTCTCTGTGCTCCACAGTGCCCTGACTGCGATGTTTTTATCTGACAATATTCTGCTTCAGTTTGTTTAAGTTGGTTTTTAGTCGTGCAATAGCTACTTTTTCACTGAGGCCAAAACCGCTTGCTCTCCTGCTCCCACAAGATGGAAGAAAGCAACTGTATTCACCAACTCTCAAAGCTATTGAAATCCTAAATATCATTTTTAAATGTGAAAAAGAATATCCTGTACAGCCCTGGTAGCTCAGTCCAACTCACTTTCTTTGTTTTTATTCATGGAGGCAGGCCTATTTATAATCCAAGATGTGTACTCGGCACACACTAAACTGAAAAAGTGTGTTGGATTAGAATCACAGACTCCACCTTTACATACTGTATGTAACAGCTGACACGTTCAACATGTAAAGGCTAAGATCTCTCCTGTCTGAAGAAGTACAGATCACCTGACCTCAGAGCAGCAGTGACTGCCTTTAATGTCAGCAGTCCTGATGCAGCTGAGCTTTAAGCTGTGATGTGAATCTGGGACGAGGGTCTCTGCAGACGGCTGACAGGGGGAACCACAGACTGCTAACCCTCGTCTGAGAAACTCCACTTCCTGTCCAGCTCCAGCCCTCTGATACAGAGGCTCGGCTGACTTGTCTCCCATGACACACGGGGGATTTCTACCCAGATACACACCTTTTGTTTTTGTAGCATGTGGAACAGATCCAAACCTCTTTAGCGCCCACGTCTACAAGGACAAACATTATAACAGTTCATGTTTTCAGAAACCCAAAATAGGGTTAGGGTTACCTAAATTATTTTTATTTTTTATTTCTTGACATTCTTTAAATTGAAACTGTTGTCCCTTCCACTTTAGCAGTGCCTTTTCTCATCATTGTCAGTATCGTGCGGGAGACAAATTATCGATGCAGCAGAACCACGTCTTTTTAATAAATCCTGGCTCCCATTACCCACAATGCAACGTGACCACTGGCAGTTTATTCAGGCGTGTTATGGTTGCCACTATGATATATAGCTGGCATTTAGTTTTAAAGTGATTTGACTCCTGATTTTTAGAGAACTTTCCCCAGAAAATGACTATTTGCATATCAATCAGCCAGCCCATGTTGCCAATGTGAAGGAAGGATTCATAAACCTTGATGAATTCAATGCAATGGCGAATTGGTTTAGCAAAAATAAGACTGTTAATTTAACAATTGGTTGCATAAGACTTTGGTCATTCTGCCCAAGTAGTATAACAGGTGGTAAATAGATGCGTCCACTAACTTCAATTCATCAAGACATTTTTTGGTTTTCTTTTTATTCTTCACTCATTGCTTGAATTCAAGGTCACACAGGTGCCAAATAGATATATATTATCTTTTCTCCCTTATGCACAAATCTGATCAGCTCTTATAAGGCTGCTAAAAGGCTAATGAACATTAAACCCTAAGTGATTGTGCAATGGGAGGGGTCCACACGTCTGGATCAGTGATTCAATCTGTCTCTAAGTTTTGCCAAAGACCATTTTCCACAGTCGCAGGCTAAAAGCACTACCCGCATTGAAATGAATGGGAAAACAAATGTTGTTTGAATGGATTATGAATCAGTGCCTGTGCACTCTCAAAAGTAGACTTGTAGATTAAGTAGTGTTACAAATAGTTTTGAGCTCTCTCCAATATCTTGTTATTCATAACTGTGCTGTTCCTTAAACCCTATCAAACTAAACCTTCAGTAACTTGATTAGCAGTTGATTCTCAGATGAAGTTTTTCTAAATGACTTTCCTCAAGAGTTAATGAAAACAGCTTTTGATATTCAATGGCAAATCACATGAGTCAGCAGGTTTTATTTCAAAGCATCTCTCAAACACACTTTGTCAACATGATGTCTGTAATGGACCATGTGGTTACAAATACTTCTTCAGATTCAGGAAATGGCTTCAGATCGTTTCTCTCTGTCAGCAGGACTTCCTGATCATGGTGCATTAGGGGGGGCGGGGGTAGCTTGAGACCAAATCGAACAACCAATTAGAAACCAAGACAAGAAACACACAAGCTCTTGTGCAGAAAGAACTATTATATTATATTATTAGTCGTTAATATTTTTGCATCTGCTGATTGGCCGTGGGTCATGTGATTTGTGTAGGGTCCCTAATGGCGGTCGATATCGGCGCTCTGTAGCAGGTCCGCCTGCGTCTGAGTGGGGGGTCTGAAGGCTGTCTGAAGCCGGTGGAGTGGAAGGGGTGCTGGGGGTGGAGAAAGTGTGCCCAGCTGGCTCTGTGGGGCTGGCCCCCGTAGAGCCGTGTGTGAGGCGGAGCTGGGCGGGGGGGCATCGTTATCTGTGAGCGTCTGCAGGGACTTGAGCCAGTGGGGGGGGTTGTCGTCCTGAAGAGAGTCTACACTGTTGCCGGGGGGGAGTCCTGCAGGGGGACAGGAGACAGTTACTCACACATTGATGGAAATCCTTTAAAGATTAAGAGTCTATAAATACAATGCCTTATTATTTTTAGATGGATGGATGGATGTGGCTATGGTACTACACAGTATTCAGCAGAGCAGGGTCTGTGGATGGTGTTTGTTTGTGCAAACTTTATTATTATTGTGACATTTTAAATCAGTTTGTAAGGTATTTTCACTGCATTTCCCTTGATACACTTTCCTGGAACCAGCCAATAGTTTCCAAAGGGGCCCTATAATGCACATTCTCAGGTTCATAGTTGTATTTTGGGACATGTCTCCAGGCTTTAATGTTCAAAAAGCTCTTATTTTTCCCCATAGTGCCTGTGCTGCAGCACCTCTTTTCACCCTCCGTCTGAAACCAGAGCCCAGTCGCTCTGATTGGTTAGCTGGCCGGCTCTGTTGTGATTAGTCAACCGCTTAGAGATGTCCCTCCCATTAGCCTATCATGTACAACTTGTTGGAGTGCTAGCCAATAGAAACTGAGAGAACTTTTGGGGATTTTGAGCCTAAAATAACATTTACAAAAACCAATATAAAACCCTACAGGAAAGTGAAGCACAATAGGGCCCCTTTTAAAAAGGCTTATCAGGGGGCTCCTACCTGTGATGATGGCGGGGTCCATCCATCTGGGGGGGCTCTCCCAGGAGCGGCTGTGAGGAACACTGTTGAAGAGGCCCGGTGGCCCCGTGTGGTTGACGCTGGATAAGGAGGAGGAGGAGGATGATGATGAAGAAGAGGAGTTGGGCTGTCCTCCAAAGTTGATGTTGATGTTGGGTAAGAGCGCTCTAAGGCCGTCCTGCCACTGTTTCACATGTATACTCTCTGCACAGCTGCTGCTCTCTGCACGGACACAGGGGGAGAGGAGGCTCATGGGAAACAAGCAGACCACCAGAAACACTGATACAGTATAAACGATAAATACAGCCACGTCCTAAATGCCCTTTTTAAAAACACTCAAATCGCGAATAGACAGACTAAGAGTTCATTATGAGCTATATGCGAACATATTGTCATTTTATGCATCATTTCAAGGTTTCTATTGCTTTGTGTCCCAAAGACAAACAGTAGGAGTGAGTACTTTTGGGGTTTAGTTAAGGAATAAGTCAACTAGATGATGAATCTGAACATTCGACAGATGCCACATTTCAATTCTAATGTCACGACAAATGAGAGTTGGCTGATGATGCTCAGAAACAGAATTAAATAGGTTTGAATTTCACTGTTTCTATCCCCAGAAACAGTATAAAAAGACACCCCATCAGTGTGAGACGATCCACTGACATTCCCAGTTAGCTTCTTGCTACATGTTACATCACCTATTCAATGATGGAAGTCTTTGGAAGGTTTTTTTAAAACATACGAGAACAACAAATAGGATTAATTAAAAAGAAAAAGGCAATCTAATGATCAAATAAAATGTGCCTGTGGTGAAAAGTGTCCCGAGTCCAGAGAGGCTGCAGCAGAGAGCTCATTATTCCTCCTGTTAGCTGTGTGACGCTGAGGTTTCAGAGCTCTGTCTAATGACACGGTGCAGGACAGGAAGAGGAAGAAAGCCTCCCCAGATATCATGGCTCCATAAATAATAAAATACTAATAGACAGGATGTTAGTCTGCTCCCTCATTAACCCCAAAAGCTAGCTTCCTACAAGGTGGCGAGGGAACAGAAGCCATTCAGATATTATTTATTCATCATATCGTGGTATGTTGTATTTCTATAAATATAGCCATTAAAGTTACCAGAGACATAACTTAAGCATTGAGGCTCCGGAAGAGTTCATTTATTTATTTATTATTAGGGATGGGTTTTGTTACGATTTTGCCAATACTGATTTTTTAAAAGATACTCTAATCGATAATTTGGTGAAAATGTAAAACGTTCCATGAAAAGCTGTTAAAAGATTCAATAAGTTATTTTATTGGGCTATTTTTGCTGAAATAACTATAATTACAGTCCTTACGCTTCTTAAAAGTGGTAAATAAAGAAAAACAAAGACAACAAACACCATAAAAACAATATTTACAAAGAACATCGCTCTGGGATTTCTCGGTATATTTCGACACCGACCAAACAGGAAGTGGTACCAATTTAGTATTAATTCTACCCATCCCAATAACTATTTAAAGCTTTGGCATTAACCCCTGTCACACTTAAGGAGAATACTTCCTCCCTCAGTACTGCCTCTTTGGTTTGGAATCAGGCTGTCAGGCAGCGGGTAGCATTAGCATTAGCATTATCCCCTATGTTGCCATTTGCATCCTCAGATAAACAAGTGCCGCCATGTTTCATTCATGAGAGCGACAGCTGCCTTCCAAATCAATTTGAACCAAGTTAAGCGATGCCACAGAGAGATTACTTTCCATTAGATTAGCTTTTGTCCTTTATGACTGCTTTTAGTGTCTGTAAATGCTTCCTCATCGTCTCCAACTAGCGCCATTTAACATCCATTAGCTTCCATTCAGATGCTGCCAACATTTCTGCGGTTCAAAAAATGGTGAACAATTTCAAAATGAAAGAAGCTGCTTGGTTTGAGTAGCTTTCTTCTTCTTTTGGGGCTATGCTTTGTTAGCATGCCGAGCTGAATAGCTAACTACCCAGAGTACTACGCCAATGTTCCTCCCTACGTAAAATAAGCACATCAAAACCCTGATAGATTATTTTGTTTGTTTACATGTTGTGTTCAAATCTAGTACACATCACTTCCACTGTGTAGTATTTCCCAACTGGTAGTGGATGCCAATTCAGAGTTGTGGCTAATGTTAGCACCCTCTACTCTGCTTTTTAGTTTAAATTATTGGCTTTTTTCGTGGACACCCTTCTAAAAATTCTGGAACAAATGTTAGGTGTGAAAATGTATCAATGTTTGGCTTTTATGCTAAAAAAGCATTTTAGAAAGTCCAAAGAAGACTGTGTGTGATCTGATCCGTCTCGACCGCAGGTGAGCGGTGATTTGGGACGGAAGCAAAATCATTTCTTGTGAGGGCATTTACAGTCAGATTATTTCAGTTCATGAGGGGCTTTTTGAAGGGGGATTTGCTTATAGAGCAGGTGTTGAGGGAAGGTTTCAGATAATCCAGTGGAGACGACAGTAGGCGTGTGATACAAGATGGAAAGAAATGCTCAGGAACACAGAAAGAAATTCAGTCTGCTTTCTCAATATGTACTTCACTTCAAAAACGGTCTGCTGTGTGTTGCTACAGTTAATGCTGTGCTGCCACCAAGTGGCCAGTGAAACACATTTTTACCCACAATGCAATGCACTAAATGACGTCATGTATCTGTTCTGCAGACAGACACTTTGGTGAATAAATGACCTGAAGAACAAACTACTCTGCATTCTATGTGGTGGTAAACTGCAATCTAATTGTAAATATGAAGCCTTAATAACACATTAAGGATTTAACAAGATCAAAAAAAGCGAATGCTAACTTCTTTAGAAATCTGTTCATGACCATTTTAAATCACTACTTAGACACAAAAACGTTCATTCATACCTGTAATCCACTTTATGATCTAATAAAAACACTCACATTGACCTTGAAACGGAATTTGAGTTCTATGAGTGTTATTTTGTATATTGATTGTTGTGTTTTATCTTAATGAGTGTATATGTATAAATGTATCTGTTGATTGTATATACACTATATATGAGATACATATTTTATACATATTTGTATTATTGTATTTTTGTATTTCGGGATTCGGTAAAATTGACATTAAAGTTGACTTTGACTATATTCTGTTGGAAAGAGGAGAGGATTAGCTTTCCGATGCTATCGTTATGGTATTGTACTCCAAACATGAAAACATGAAAATCCCCTGTTCCTGCCCCCATGTCATTTCCTTGAGATATAGGGAGGGGGGTGCGCTGAGGAGCAAGAGCTAGTGTCGACGGTGATTGCTGAAATTCTCATCCTGTCTCTTCAAGCTTCAAAAATGTATTTATTCGCTGAAAATGATTACAATCATTTCTTATTCTGGAAGCAAAACTGTATTTTGAAATCAACCAAAACCCCATAAAAACTAAGTTCATCACAAAATGACCTGCTCTGACTTCAGCGTGATGTTGATGAAGCGTGTCAGGTGTGCTCAGTCTTACCTGCGATGGGGATTCCTCCGAGCCCAGTACTGTGATGTCCCAGCAGCCCTGTGGAGTCCAGGAAGCTGCTGTGTGAGGTGGACGTGGTTAGACTGTTTGTGTGGTTCAAAGGCACAAAGTTTCTGCGAGAGGAGGCGGGGCCCATCCAGGATCCACAGGACGCAGAGGAGGAGGAGGAGGATGAAGACGATGATGATGTGGGGAAGCCGAAGGTGGTGTAGCCTCCCCTGTGAGGGTGTTGATGATGGGGGAAGTGGTGAGGATGTGGGAGGGGGTTGGGGAAGGGGCCTCTGTGTAGCGGGGGGGCGAG